TAATTTTCATTCTTGGCAGGATGTACCTACCCTAGAATGTCTTTCGCATTAACTCAAGGGCATTTTCAAAGTTGTGTCAATCTTATCTTTATGAAAAAGAGAATAGAATCAGTACAAGTCCCTAACCTAGATGATCTGAAAGAGAATGAAAAGTTAAAGCTAAAGGTAGTTGAGACTTTAGAGGGCTCAAAAGCTAAATAGAAGACAAACTTATTGGAAGAGAGATTATGAGAAGTTGAAAGGATGGATTTTTATGGCTCTATGGATATAGCCGACATTTTTTTGGTCCTTTATGTTGTAATCCTACCAAAATTTAAGGTCTCAGAGTTTAAAAAGTATAATGGTACTAAGTGCCTAATGACTCATATTACTATATATTTTTGAAAAATTACTGCTTATACTAGTGATGAAAAGCTATTGATGTATATGTTTCAAGATAGTCTTGCTGGTTCTGTTGCTATACGGTACGTCTAATTGGACAAAGCTCGTATTACTTCATAAAAAGAATTAGCGAAGAGGTTTATTACCTAATATCGAAACAACATAAACTTGGCTCAAGGTTGTCTCTCTTTGCAGAGCATGAAAAAAAAGTGACTGAATCATTCAAGGAATATGCCCAAAGATAGAGAGATATAGCTACCAAAGTTCAGCTACCTTTGACATAAGAAGAAACTATAGTGCTATTTATGAGTACCCTGAAGGTACCTTACTAGAAGAAGATGATAGAAAATGCAATGAAGAACTTCGCTGATATAATGATTTTAGAAGGGATTATTAAAAATATCATAAAAAATAGCAAGTTTAAGGAAGAAGAAACCACTAGTACAAAGAAATGAAGGGTGCCTAAACAAAAAAAGCTGAAGCTAAAGCTGTAAATTTGAAAGGCAACAATTCAGGAGTTATGCACCAGTTTATCCTGCTTACTACCTCAGTTAATAAAATTACACAAACCCCTTACTAACCTGTGCCACATCTAGTTTATCCACCTACTTACTAATCAGCCTTTCAAACACCTATATATGGTTCTAGTCATATCATTACACCAACTTTAAAGCCTAAAAACCAAGTGAATGGTTTGAAAAAATCTATTAACAACTAAGAGAGAGCTCACATTGATCATATCCCTATAACCTATACTAAGCTATTCCTTAAACTAGTCAAAAACAGCTTCGTATCTCTAATTATTCTAGAACCATTGAAGCCACCTTATCCAAAATGGTATAATGGTAATGCCACTTATGATTATCATAATAGGAATGCGGGGCAATCAATAGAAAGTTACCCTGCTTCCAAGCACTAAGTGTAAAGTTTGATTAGAGCATGCTTAGTAGGTTTTGATAAGCCAGATGGATCGAACATTGGTAAAAACCATTTGCCTAACTACATGAAAGCATAAATTTCACAATGACAAGGACAGTTGGAGTTCTTTAGAGCTGTTTGTCATTTTAGGATTTCTTTTAGAATAATACTAATATTTTTTTACGTATTAGGATTTCATTTTATTTTTTATCATTTTCATAAAAGTGACAAATATGATGCATTTTTATAACATTTTCTTTTTCAGGTGAATCACCATTATATACTTTTATCTTCTCATATCTTCTCATATACCCATTCTTATATCTAAATAGTGAATATTCAGACAATAATGATTATAATATGAGATTCAATTTTGGAAACTCATTCATATTAGTAAACTTGATTTATGAAGATTATTTGAGCAAATTGTGCAAAAAAAGTTCAAAAACAAGTTGTGAAGATTATTTGACCATTTATTGAAAAATAAAATAAAAACGTTTCATAAGTATGTGGTCCTTTATGGTGATCTAACCACAAGCAAGTATATGTTTAATAAATGGTCTTCAAGGAAAGTATTTATATTTGAGATGAGAAATGGTCATCTTTCTTTTACTTTTCATGAAAATTAATATTGAAATTAAAAAAAATAATGACAAAAATGATAGATGAGATTTCGAAATCAAATTCAATGAAACAAGAATTAGTTAAAGTATTAATAATATGCTTAACAAGAGAGTTGCACTCGTAATGACAACTATTCAAAGCAAAAAAGATGAAGCTGAAATTGAATAAATAACTTGTTGAAACTCAAAATAAGAAGTAGAAAATTAGGAATAAATTAGCTAAATCTCATGCAATAGAGTTACAATTAAAGTATTATCCTCAGCTACAAATTCTTGAGTAGACCTCCCTATTTCTGCCTTATTTTCATTCCCAAATAGAGTATTTGGATAAACAACAAAAATATAAGGCTCATCTACTATAACATATATTGGAATGGTTTTTTTTCTTTTGATGACATAGAACCATATGTTCAATATGGATATCTAAATGAATAAATTTCAACCTTTCATCAAATGATAGCCCAAGAATACAATAAAATATGTCACTAGTTGTCTTGTACCCTAATTTAACAACCAAATCTTACAACTGAAAAAATGACATCTTATCTAAAGGGTAATCATCCAACCATGCTACATCACTTCCTACCGAAACTTTGTTAGGACTTTGTATAAATGACCCACCATGATAAATCCCAACAGTTTTCCTGGTATTCCATTTGTAGTAAAATGAAAATTTTATTTTTTAGTGAAATTTTGATTTTCTTATCATGTTAATAACATTTCAAAATTTCAAAAACCCTAAATTGGTTCTGATATGGAGTTAGGTATAAAAAATTCCCAAATGTTTTTAATAAAACTTACTAAACCTAACAATTACCTTAGAACCAATTGCATCGAAATTAAAGAAAGAATTGTATGTACCTTATTTGATTGTGTAAATCCAACGAAATACCTTCAAATTGTGCCCAAATTTCAATCACTACCTTTCGATCAATTTAGTGTAAATGCAACCAAAATCTTGATTTCAATCACCAACCCAAAAACCTTTACATCATAATAATCAAATGATTTTGAAAGTTCATTGTTGAAAGATGAGTTTTAAAAGATGAAGATCATATTAAAGAAAGTTTTGTTCAACTTTTTGTTAATTATTCAACAACTTCTGTGATATTCATGGCTTGTATTATATGAATATCAATTTGGTCATTTTACTTCTAACGATGTTTAATAGGTGATAACGGAATAGTTCCATAAGGTAGTTATGTTTTATGTTTTAAACCTCAAGGGCATTTGCATACTACCCTTAACCACAGGGTAAATTTGTGTTTGTAAAATTTATTAATAAAAAATATTTTAATATTAAGAAATAAATTGAGATAATACTTGTCTTACACCAACATTAAGAAAGTAAAAAATTTGTAAGTTTGCAAAAAATATTGTTTGAGTGTTAATCTAGTTAGAATATAATAATTAATTTTAATATTTTTTAATAGTAATGAAATTAGAATAATCATCATGATATTAATCTGAATAACCTCGTGTATAATATTTGATTTTTATTTTTGGTTACATTTTTTAAAAGTTTGATAACATTTGATAAAATTTTGATAATCTTTAATACAATTTTTGTAACCTTTAATTCTATATTGGTGACTTATTATATGACTTAGGTACTCATTAAGACAATTTTGGTAATTTTTAATAAAATTTTAGTAAGTTTAAAATAATTTGGTAGGTTTTAATATAATTTTGGTAGCTTATTATATAATTTTGATAACCGTTAGTAGAATTTTGGTAATCTTGAATATAATTGTAGCAAGTTTTGATATAATTGATAGCCTTTTATATAATTTTGATTTTGATAACCTTTTATATATTAGGATGATCTTTGTTAGAAATTTTATAACAATTAATAAAATTTGCCAACGTTTAATACTATTTGGTAACTTTTGATACAACATGATAACCATTTATATAATTTTGATTTTGATAAATTTTGATATATTGCAATAACCTTTATTAGAACTTTTATAACAATTTGCAAAATTTTATTAACCTTTAATATAATTTTGATAACCTTTACTTCTATTTTGATAACTTACGACATAATTTGGGTAACTATTATATAAATTTTGGCAACATTTAATAAAATTTTAGTAAGTTTGATATAATTTTGGTAACTTTAATACAATTTGGTAGCCTTAGATACGATTTTGATAAGTTTTGATGTAATTTGATAATTTTTATACAATTTTGATTCTGGTAAGCTTTCATATATTTTGGTAATTTTTGTTAGAAATTTGATTAGCTTTGATAAAATTTCGTAACCATCAATAAAATATTGGTAACATTAGGTATTAGTTTGGTAACATGATATAGTTTTAGTAACTATTAATATGTTTTGGTAACTTTTGATAAAACATTGACAATCTATTGATGCAACTTTTATACAATTTTGATAACTTATTATATACTTTTGGTAATCTTTAATAGCATTTTGGTAACAATTCGTAAAATTTTAGTAACCTTTAATACAATTTTGATGACCTTTATTTCTATTTTGATAATTATGATATAATTTTGTAACTATTTATATAATTTTGGTAACATTTGATAAAATTTTAGTAAGTTTGATGTAATTTTGGTAACTTTTAATGCAATTTTAGTAATCTTAGATACAATTTTAGTAATCTTTTATACATTTTGATAATTTTTCTGAAAGTTTTGATAAATTTTGGTAAAATTTTATAACCATCAATAAAATATTGGTAACATTAGGTATTATTTCGATAATGTGATGTAGTTTCAGTAACTATTACTACAATTTTAGTAACTTTCGATAAAACATTGATAACCTATAGATAATAATTTTGGTAACCTTCTTACAATTTTGGTAGCTGATGATATATTTTTGGTAATCGTTAATACAATTTTGGTAATCTTTGATAGCATTTTGGTGACATTAGGTATAGTTTTGAGAAGCCTTGATACAATTTTGATAAACTTTGATTTTGTTTTTATTTCAATGATGTTCAACATAATTTGGTAACCTTATATATATGGTAACCAAAGACACATGGGAGAACCCATGCAGCAACCTTGATCTTATATAAATGCTCATCTCTCTTCCCATTTTCTACACTCAAAAATTGAGAAATCCAAGAGTTGTAGTTTTCGTTTTTACTATTAATCGAAAAAAAAAATGCCTGGCATCACCCTTGGAGACACTGTGCCCAACCTTGAAGTTGAAACCACCCATGGAAAAATCAAGCTTCATGACTATTTTAAGAATGGTTGGACAATCATTTTCTCTCATCCTGGTATAGGCTTTTTTTTTGTTTTTTAATTTTTTTTTAAATTATCTTGGAATATAAGATATTAGCTGTAATTTATTTTATGTTGGGTTGGGTTATGTTTTTACATGCAGCTGATTTCACACCAGTTTGCACTACGGAACTTGGTAAGATGGCAGCTTTTCCAGCCAGAGTTTGAAAAACGAGGGGCAAAGCTTTTGGCTTTCTCTTGTGACAATGTACAATCACATAACAAGTGGATCAAGGACATTGAAGCCTACACTGTAATATTTTTATTGTTAATTTTCAATATAACTTTTTTTTTTAAGTTTCCTTTAAAACTTGTTTACATTTTTTTAAAGTTTCCTTTAAACTTAAATGAGAGAAGCAAGTATGGCTTTTATGTTCACTTTGTCTAGTTTCTTTATTACTTTGTTCATGTCTTAATTGATTGCATGGCAGCCTGGGTGCAAGGTAACATACCCAATCGTTGCCGATCCCAAAAGAGAGATTCTCAAGCAACTTAACATGGTGGACCCAGATGCTAAAGACTCTTCAGGGAATGAGCTCCCAAATCGAGCTCTTCATATCGTAGGTTCTGATAACAAGGTGATATGTTGTTTTATACATAGCTTTAGCATAATTAATGCAAATCAAAAGAAAGCCATCAAGAAAAAAAAATCCATAAAAACCATTGATTTGTGCTAACAAAACACATGGATGATGTAGATCAAGCTGAGCTTAGTATACCCAGCAACCACTGGTCGCAATATGGATGAAGTTTTGAGGGCCTTGGATGCCCTGCAAAAGGTATCAAAGTACAAAGTTGCCACACCAGTAAATTGGAAACCAGATGATCCTGTGGTGATTTCTCCTGCTGTAACCAACGAGGAAGCCAAAGAAATGTTCCCTCAAGGTTTTGAGACTAAAAAGCTTCCATCCGGGTTGGAATACTTACGCTTCACTCATGTTTGATGGTTGGAAAACTTAAAATATTTCTTAGTATCCAATAAAAAATATGTAAAAAGCAAACATATAGTACATATACATGACTATATGGCTTCGAACATATTATACTTTTCTTGTAAGTTTTATTATGTAAGAACTGCTTACAGTTAAATAAAGTTGAATTTTATTTATGCTTGTCGGGAGTTAAACCCGGATCTATTGCTCAGATGGCAATTATCCTAACTCTTGAAGTACAAATGTGACCTATTCTTTAAATAGATATTTCTTTTTTGGTTGGGAACTTTCAAATGTGACTCAAACATTATAGATGGTAGGTAATATTCCTTTGTGTATTTTTCATTCAATTTTGTTTAACAATAGAAAATGAAATAATGTACTATACACAAAAGGATTGACACTGTCAGGCTTTAATCACATGCTAAAGTATTGGAAATAAAGTCCGATGGATCCAAGTACAAATTTAAATTAACACTAATTCGTATCTGGATAGACATTTGAAATACTTAGGTCTAGAATCTAGATAATCTAAGTAATTTAAACACATTAATTAATAAGTTTGAAAAATCATACCATACTTTAAGAAAAGGTAAAGTGTTTTTAAGTTTTAAAACATGAAAGATAAGTATCTTGTGCCATTATTTCGTTATCACCTATTGAAAGCAGTTAGAAAATAGTCACAGCAAGTCTTTATTTCTTGTTCATTCCTTAATTAACATCTTCCTCTCTTTTAAAAATTCAAAAAATTCTTTTATATAAAAAGGCTAACAATTATCCAATGAAAATTTTAATAGAATAAAAAATTCAATATGAGATAAAGTATATCATCTACTTCATGAAAAAAATTAAGAAAAAATTTTTTTTTATTTATTTAAAAAATCATGAAATTTCAAGAGGATTTCTTAAAATTAAATTCGAATTAGATCACAACCCTTATGTTATAATCAATATCGAAATGGGTTTCATAGGAATAATTACTTTTCAGAATTTATCTTTTCATTTAATAAGGCATTTTCCTACTTTTATGAAATCAAAAATTTGTTATTTTGTTATAAATGATGAATACTTTTCATATATGCATAATAAAATAACTAGTTTAATAAGACTCTTTCAAAGTGAAAGATTTTTTTCAACCATATCAAATATGAGAAGTCAAAAAAGTGTTTTATAAACAAGATTTATTAGTACCTAATGAAATGAGAAAAATTTTAAATTTGCTTTTTCACAACAATTTTATATGGTTTTTAAATCAGAATTATCATGATAGAAAAAGCAAAAATATTATTAAATGGAATCTCACCAAATTTATGTACTCTTTATATCACTGTTACAACAAACGATAAAATGATTTTTGTAAAAAAAATCTTATTGACACAATCTAGAACTAGAACTTTAGGTGGTTGAACTTATAGAAAAACTATTTAGCATAGAAGACTTAGAATACCCTCATTCTTTACTACTCAAGTATCAGGATGGATGAAAACAATGAAACAAGTCAAGAATAGCTTCACTAGCTTTTTTAATCCAAAAGATGAATAGGCGATAAATCTGGCAAACATCTAGGATGGATAAAAAAAAGACAACTAGTCAACATCTGCTAGACTTTTAAACAACAAGTTTACCGTCAAACGAGTAAGATAATAAGTCAATATTTGTTGCTAAAAAGGTAAAAATATCATTATCTTATAGGTGTTAATTATCAATACTTATTGTTAAATGTCAATACCTAATGGTAACCACTTTAATAAATGTTACCTATTGTAATAAATTGACAATGACCATTGTTATGAGATTAAAAAGTAGAGACAGAGCTTAGAAAAGACACAAACTCTTATCCCTTTTTTCTCTTGTCATCTTCTTCTTTCACTCTTGTATATTTCCCGCACACTATTATCTTTTCACTTTTATCTATAATTGGTATCACAGATTCTCATCCCCTCTTTCTGTTGTCATTTTCCTTCACTCATGTATAGTTCCTTTACGCTTTTATCTTTTCAGTCTTATCTATAAAAATTTCAAGGTATAGAGTTTGGTTAAAGTCGGTTTGTTAAACTTTGAAAAAGAAAAGAATTGAATGTTAATGGCAGTCTTTTACCAAATCATACTAACCCAACAATTAATGTCGTGGATGTTGTAAAGTGTGACATATCAAGAGATTTGTGAATAAAATCAAGACTTTACTTGAAAAAGTGTTTGATATATTGGTAAAGGCAGGTGTTCTTCACCTTTCAATGAACCAAGGTAATGGTCATACAAAATAAAATCTAGATCAAACTTGCAAATATCACATGGGGGTCGTAGGGCACTGCACTTAAAATTGCAATACGTTTCATCAAGTGTTGCAAACAATGATGGACTCATCCTTCATTGGGTTTTTTGACAAACATGATGGAAATTCAGTGAATGCTATGAGAAAAGAACTTTTGGGAAACAAACCTTTAAGAGATGTGTTCAGATATTTTATGATGAAAAAGATGCTTTAGCAAAAAAAAGAACATTCATTTGTTCCTAAGTCAATTGTGACCATCAATGTCTTTGGTTCCTTTCCATACCAAAGTAGTCAAACAATGCCAAGAAAATATGATTGTAACATTATAATCTAAAGGCCTAATGGTAGTTCAAGCTCGAGCAATTCAGATGTCCCAAACACTATTAATATTGTCAAAGTGGGCGGTATGACTAGGAATGGATGATGTTATACATTGGAATCTCTAGAGAAGATTCGAAAAAGAAAAGCAAAAGAATGGGGAAATGTCAAAATAAGGAAAGAAAACCCACCCAATTATGACTAAAGAAGTTGGTCTCCGAAGAAAAAGCTTGTGAATTCTTTCTCAAAAGTTTTGTGAAGTTTAAAGAATAAAAAGTTCCTAATAAATGAAAAAAAAGGCAAAATTAAAAAAATAAAGCATACAAAAATTCATCACACATTGAAGCCAAGAAACAACATAATTAACAAAGTTAAGATGAGCTTGAGCCAAATGACTCAAAATCTCACGAAAAAAGGTGAAAGACTAATAAATATAAGTAACTTTGAATAAAAAAAGATTTTATAGAAAACACTTCTAATATATAGGCATGTTTTCAAATACATTCTAAACAAAACAAAACACTATCTAATTAAATGACAAAGGCAACACTTGCAATAGCAACAAGCATCCACAGATACAAATCCATCATGCCATGCCATTGCATAAACCATAAACTTCCAACAATAATATATATATATATATTTATATAAAGAATGAGGAATAAAAGGCTTTGGGCTATTGGGTAAGGTTGTTCTTGTAGGGTTTGGGTACTTTAATGGAAAAATGAAAGATAAGGGAAAGCGAAAAAGGTTTAGAATTTTATTTAGAGGTTGGCTCTTGTAGGATTAGTTAATTAAAACTACTCATGGGCTAAACGGTCCATCCGAACTTGAAAGCTAATCCAAAATTTTAAAGGATTTGGACATGAATATTCAACCCATTAAATGAGTCTGGACAAATAAATAAGGTCCAATCAAAAAATAAAGTCGAGCTTAGGTTTTATCATTTAAGTCTTAGGTCCGGTCTGGTTCGACTTAAAAATTAAAAATTATTGTTTATAATATGAGATAAAGCCTATTTACTTTATTACTTATAATATGATGAAACCCATTTTTTTCTATAAAACACTGATCTAATTTTAAAGTGCATTCAATTAAATTAAATTGATTCCAAGCCCAAATAAATCATAAATTCAATTAAAATTAATTAAATTAGTTAAATTAATAATTAAAAAAACTTTTTTCTCAAATTTTAAATATTAATGCCCTAAACGAGTTTAAACTTTATTATTACATGTAGAAACAAGCTTGGAGAAAAAATGAGGCCCAAAAAATCAGGTTGGGTCAAGCTTAGGCTTACTTAAAATGTTAAAATATCATATCAAGCTTAGTCTGAACTCGACCTGACCTGACCTATGAGCAAGTCATAGTTAACATTGGGTGGGTGAAGACGACGACAAAAAGTGGCTAGGGTTCTTTTGGCTAAGATAAGTGGTGGTTATTTAGATTTTAGGGTTTTAGATTTATCAATTATTAGGTTTTAGGAGCTATCGACAATTTGATATGCTTGTAGACACCCCATTTAGTCTAGGGTCAATTCACATTTTAAGATTAGGTTTTGATTTATTTATTTATTTTTAGTATTGCATTTAGTTTAGAGTTATTATTATTTAAAAAAAATAAAGTTCGGGTTAAGTTGAATTGGTTTAGGATTGGAGTTCTTTTGGATTACAAAAGTTTTGAATGGAATCAAAGTCTGAGATTGAATTAAAAATGAAATAGAAATTCTTTTTTATCAAGAGTTCTCATAATTTGAAACAAGATACCTATAAAAACACCACAGAACCAAGATCAAAATGAGGGAATTTGTTCTAAGAAAATTTAGGCTTGTGAAATTTTTGGTTATGTAATAAAAGGAAAGCAAGAAGCATCGAGAAATGAATTAAACAATCATCAACATCAATTATCAACAATTCAAAGCCATGTACGGGCAGGAATCAACAAGAAGAAAAATCAGCATAAAGGTAATTTCAAGCAAAGTTTTCAGCGGAACTTCTAGAAACAAATTCACAGCTTAAGCCCAGAAAACAATTCTCAACACAAAAGCAATAAATTCAAACAAATTACCCAAAAAATAAGCTCTAGCCAGAAAACCTAACCCCAAAACGAATCCATTACACAATTATCATAAACAATAACCCACAAACATAGAAAATCCAACCAAAAGTTCAAATTGAAATAGAAAAATCAACTCATCAGTATAAACAATCATAGAGTAAACCAAAGCCAAGCAAAGAAACACAAACAATTAGACATAAATACTAAAAAAGGTAAAGGAAAATTTTTAGGCAAGGAATTGTACTTTGATGTGTCGATTTGTGTTTGGTATTGTTAGAGGAAAGAAAGAATGTAGATTTAGGCAGTTACAAAGGGGTTTCTTGAAAATCTGGTTCAGTGAAAGTGGTAAAAATATGGTTGATTTTTGGTTATTTGGTGGTTTCTGGGTTGTTGATTGAAACCAAAAGAAAGATAGAAATGGAGGAAATGAAGTAAAGATTTTTGAGGGGGTTGTTGCTTGTGTTCAGTCAATGATTGATAAAGTTGAACGGTAATGAGTAGCCAAGGCTGACGATTAATGATGGCCAAAGGTGGTGAAGATCTATCTTTGGGTAAAACAATGGCACAGTTGAAGGCTTTAAAGAAATTTGAATGAGAAGTTTTGGAAAAAAA